GCTGGGCTGCGTGGGGAAGGGTTTTATTGACCCTCTGTGGAGGCTGAGGCTGCTGACCCCTGTGCTTTTCAGATCTGGAGGCTTTCCACCTCTGCTGCTCACCCTGGTTGAGCTCTCACGACACGTGTCTCCAACCCGGCAGTGGTCACATGCGGTAAGAAGGTATTTTTAACCCTGGGAGATGTAGGCGGTCTGCAGAGAGGTCCTTGATGTGTCCATCTGCCACACAAATGGGGCCAGACCCTGTTCTGCATCCTCACACCGATGGCCACGCAGGAGTTGCTCATGTAGGTCCTCCCCAGCATGAGGAGGGACATGGGGCTGGGAATGCTGATGGCTGGAGAGGAAGGCAGCCTGTGCCGAGTCCTCTTGGTCCTTGGGGTCCCTGGCCACATGGTTTGCTCCTGCTCCTTGCCTGTGAGGGGGGTTGACATGGGGGTAAAACAGGTGCTGAGGTGGTGGCAACCAGACCGTAGCTGTTTTACACATGTGGGGCGACACCTCTGTCACACTGGGGGAGTTTGTCTCATTTCTTTAGGTGGCAGCGGTCGGGGAAGAAAGGGCATCACCTGAGGCACCACATAGTTACTGAGCATCTCTTCTTTCTACTCAGAGACACCACGTCTGTTCAGGGCCTTGTGCCTGGCTGCAAGAGGAACAACCACCTCAGTGTGTGTTGGTTGGGCGTCAGCTGAGATGGGCACAATGGGCACAAAATAAAGGCTCCTGTGCAAAACACAGGGCTGGATGATAACATCATGTGTTACAGAATTGTAGGGGTGGGAAGGGACCTCTGGAGATCATCCAGTCCAACCCCCTGCCAGAGCAGGTCCACCCAGAGCAGGTCCCACAGGAACGTGTCCAGGTGGGTTTGAATGTCTCCAGAGAAGGAGACTCCACCACCTCTCTGGGCAGCCTCTGCCAGGGCTCTGCCACCCTCACAGGAAAGAAGTTTTTCCACATGTTCAAATGGAATTTCCCATGTTCCAGCTTGTGCCCATTGCCCCTTGTCCTGTCACTGGGCACCACTGAGAAGAGCCTGACCCCATCTTCTTGACACCCAACCTTTAGATAGTTATAAGCATTGATGAGGTCCCCTCTCAGTCTTCTCCAGACTAAAAAGACCTAAGTCTTTCCTCATCAGAGAGATATCCTAGTCCCCTCATCATCTTTGTAGCCTCTGCTGTCCCCTCTCCAGCAGTTCCCTGTCCTTGAACTGGGGAGCCCAGAACTGGTCCCAGTGCTCCAGCTGGGGCCTCCCCAGGGCAGAGCAGAGGGGCAGGATGACCTCCCTCCACCTGCTGCTCACACTCTTCCTGATGCACCCCAGTTTCCATCCTTGCCTACCCCACGGTGGCTTTTCATGGACTTTTACTGCCTGTGGCTGCTGCACTGAGGCACAGGAGCCTGTGTGCCCACCACTGGTTGTTTCTGCATCAACGGGGTCTGTCTGTGGAGGAAAACAATCAGAGGCTTATTTCCTATTATTTCCTCCCCCCCTAGAATATTTGCATCTCTTCCACTAACGGGTTAACCCACCTCAAGCATATGTAGTCAGCTAAATAACTTGATATTTCTATTTATAATGTAAATTATTTTAAAAAAAATGATTAGCTGAGCTTGGAGTTTGGATGTTAGCCTTGTGATTAAAGGAGGAGGCGTTGCAAGAGTCTGAGTGTTGACGGAGCCCGTTTGTAAGGGTTCCTTATGATAAATCTTTACCCAACTGGCTTCAAATCTGATTGACTGAAAAATTTGCTGGTGTCCTAACTTACAAGGACAAATGTCAGACACCCAGGGCTCTGGGGTAAAGTTGTAATGAAGTTATAAGGTTGCAGTTTTCATGGTAAGGGTTAATGTCTTTATCAGAAAAAGATCATGCAGAGGGTTTTATGTGCAGTTCAGCAGTTAAATACAGTCTCGTTTGGCTCATCACCGTGCTCCCAGGCTGATGTAACCCATGACTTCTGGAGCTTTTGCCGTGTGTTTGGTGGTCCTCCTTACTGCTGTTGCCTCCTGAACCCCAGCTTGTCAGAGCGCAGCAGATGACAACCCCCTCAGCAGAGCAGCCGGTTTCACAGCCTCAGGTCTCAGGCTCGAGTCACCAAAAAATGCCTCGTCAGTGGAGGTGGTGGTAGGGGAACGACAGTGTGTGCCACATGGGGACCTTTGCATGTCTCTTCTGCTTTATGGTCTGGTGATCCCCCACCCAACCCTTCACAAATTAAAAAAAAAAAGGGAGACCATAAAGCAAATATCTGCTGGGTTGCCTCTTGCTGTTTCATGGCTGTGCAAACCGTGACGGTGCAGTAGGAAAATGTGGGTCTAAAATAAAACAGAGTAAACTGTCGGGGCAGGTGAGTCTGCAGGGTGGGGGGTGTGATGGGGGTGAAACACCTGGGGCCAGGGTCTGCCCCGCTCTCCTGCCTTCGGGTCCACTGCAGGGCCCATGGCAATTAGAAATGATGCCTTTTTTTGGGTAATGAATCCAACCTGGTGGCTGAGGAGAGGGGTGTCATTCACATGTGGGTCCATTTCATGTTCTCCTTCGTGCTCAGCTGCTTGTTTTTTCTGGGCCTTCTTCTAAAGAAAGGAAATTTAGATTAGACTTTCACATGTGGGTCCATTTCATGTTCTCCTTTGAGCTCAGCTGCTTGTTTTTTCTGGGCCTTCGTCTAAAGAAAGGAGATTTAGATTAGACTTCAGGAAGAAATTCTTTTCTGTGAGTGTGGTGGGACACTGGAAGAGGTTGCCCAGAGAAGCTGTGGCTGCCCCATCCCTGGAGGGGTTGAAGGCCAGGTGGACGGGGCTCTGTTTGTAGAACTCACAGAGAGGGTTTCATCTGAGAAATCTGACTTGTTTCATTTTCCTTTGCATGTGCAAATCCTGAGATTGCAACTTTTACGGCTGAGTAGCTCCCAGATGTGAAACCATCCTGCAAATGCCCGTGTTTGAGTCAAAAATGTTTTCTCTAAAAAAATACGTGGTGTTCCCCCAAGAAGTGATGCATCTGCGACCAACTCTTCTGGCAAACCTGTTTGCTGCAGGATGTGCAAAGCGGGTTCAAAAAGGGGAAGAAAGGCAGGTAAAGCACATCTGAGATTTATTTTTTTTTCATGCATCAGTAAGAATTATTTTATATATAGTTTATTTGAATAAAGTGGTATGCAAAGTAACGATGGATATTTTAACCTGCAGCTCAATCACAGAGATGTTTTTGAAATGGCTGGGAGAAATCAGAAACCTATTTTTGGAACTGAAATATAAATTACTGTAAGTGTGATGGGCTGTCCTCCTGCAGGCTGTTTCAGTCAGGTCGCTGCCCCAGTCAGTCTCTAGTTCCGGGGAACCCAAAACTGTAAAAAGACATGAAACAGGCCTGAAAAAAAAAATAATAAATGCTTCCTCTTGTAGTTATTATAAAATCCGACAACATGCGTGGGTCAGGCAGTGCCATTTGGCTGCTGTTAATGACTTTGATGGAAAAATGGTCCCGTCCGCCTACATTTTTAATCACCATTTCACATTTTTGTGACGGAGCGCTGGAGTCGACCCAAAGTTGCTTTCTGTGCTTTTTCATCTGGAAAATGCATTGCACGTCCACATCCTGTTCCGTTCTCACGCCGAGATTTTTAACACATGACTAAGGGCCGGGTGGACACTGGCAGAGGAGCTCCCAGCAGAGGCCAGGTTGTTACCCCACATCCCGGAAAGAACTCTGTGCCGAGTCCTGTGGTGTGGACACTCATCGAGAGGACACTCCCCAGTTGCTCATTTTAAACGTAGACACTATTTGTGATGGAAGGACCAGAAATGTGGCACCTTTTCACCAGAGCTGCACAGAGTACGGGCAGTGTGGTAGGCAGGGGGACAAGGTATCCTCTAATGGATGGGCTTTCCAAAGGGCACGTTGGTGAAGGATGTCAAGACTGAATGTTTTCTTTCCTTGTTGTGTCTTTCCCTTCCAGGCCTGAGTTGGCTCACCTGGCCTGGGCTCCTGTGTCCCACTTTGTGTTGGGCCATGGTTCAGCTTATGGTCTCTGAAGACCATGTTGTGTTTGAGGTAAGATAAGTGACTTCATAGTCGACTGGTAGGACTGAAGATGGGGAGTACTTAGTTTGTCCTCTACCAGAGCCTTAGCTACCCTTGAGGAATCTCTGTCTTGGTGCTCCTATAGGGCTATGAAGATGCTCAGAGGGCTGGAGCACCTCTGCTGTGAGGACAGGCTGAGAGAGTTGGGGTTGTTCAGCCTGGAGAAGAGAAGGCTCCGGGGAGACCTTAGAGCCCCTTCCAGTCCCCAAAGGGGCTCCAGGAGAGATGGAGAGGGACTCTGGATCAGGGAGGGGAGCCATAGGATGAGGGGGAATGGTTTAAACTGAAAGAGGGGAGATTGAGATGAGATCTCAGGAAGAAATTCTTTGCTGTGAGGGTGGTGAGACCCTGGAAGAGGTTGCCCAGAGAAGCTGTGGCTGCCCCATCCCTGGAGGGGTTCAAGGCCAGGCTGGATGGGGCTTGGAGCAACCTGGTCTGGTGGGAGGTGTCCCTGCCCAGGGCAGGGGGTGGGAACTCAATGATCTTGAAGGTCCCTTCCAACCAAAACCATCCTTTGGTTCTATGATTTGATGGGAGGGAGGGTGGTGACACTGCTTACCTCCCAGGGATGCAGTGAGACTAAATGTTGTGTCTGTAATGCTCTTGAGGTCAGGTGTGAAAGTGTGAAATGGCTGGCAGCGCCAAGGCTTTTCTCTGACTATCTGATATCAAGCAAGGATTCTACCACCTATAAGATATTGGATCTTCTCACAAACGTGCAGTTCCAGGCTCTCTCTTTGGGGAGCAAAATTTGGATTCTTTGCCATCAAGTGTTTGTGTTCCTCAGAATCATAAACCCTGCCTTAACTTTCCACTAAATACTTCCCGAGAGCTTTTAAGTCACTGAGACCCATATATTATCACATGCTACTTGTTTCTTTTATTATTTTTTTATGAATAGGACAAATTTTATTTGAATCAGTAAAATAGCTATCTACTACAATACAAGAAATCTCCACGGTGGTTGCTGAAATACTGAGAAATTAAATACACTTCTTGTAAATCTTTCCTTTTCTTGTAGAACCAAATTATAAATTAAATAAATAAGAAAACCATAAATACACATTTCAAGACACGGCAATTATTAGTTAGAAATAGGAATCATCTCCTCTTCACCTCCATCCGTAAACTGCTTAAAGCTATTAATTAACACATGAAATACTACGATACAGCTTTCTCAACAGACGAAACTCTTGCCGCCCTGGAGTGTGTGTGGGCTGCTCTACGGGTCACGTTAGCTACAAGGTCAGGTGCCACAAGTGCTCACTGCCTTAATTACCCCAAATTGCAGCAAACGGGCTTTTCCCAGTGTCTGTCCATCTTCTTTATTTTTTGCTTTGCTTAGGGAACGCGGCCAAAAAAGGGAACTGGTGATCACTATTGTCCCTATTCCTTGAGTGACTGTGGGAAGGTAGTCCCCCTGAATTTACCAGGTCTATCTTCTGCTGGGATTTCTACCAGAAAGGGATCTAGAGTTGGTTGTGAAGAATATACAAAAAATTATTTGTAAAAGACAAAGTTTCAGGAAAAATCCTGGCCGTGGCTCCAGCTTGGTTCAGTCCTGGAGGACCTGATGTTGGCAGGGTCAGGCTATTACACGGGCGCAACGTGTCAGGGTCCAATTTAAAGGTGGGGTGGGCCCCTGTGAGAAAACTTCTCTGGTGCTGCTCAGGGGGGTAGCCCTCAGCAGGCATTGGCGTTGCTCTGCTGTGACTGGTGAGACATGGTCACTACTGGGCCACCAGCACCTCTTCTCTTTGCTTTGCCAACAGCTGGGGCTTCTCAGCGTGTGGTACACAAGGAGCTGTGTTCTTCTTTCCCAGGAGAAGGAGAGAAAAGCAGGAGTGGAAATTATCCCTCTGGCAGGCTGCTGGGCCACAGAAGAATTTTTGCCCTTGGTGAGGAATAAAGGAAAGGGCTGCGTCATTTCTAGCTGCAAGGCTGTCCTCTGTGAGGTGTTGAGCACCTCTTAAGGAGAAGCCTGTGACTGAAGCAGTGATGGACGTGACAGCTAGACACGAGGGCTGACAGAGGTATTTTATGAAGGGCTAGAGCCTCTCCCCTCCTTGGCAGACTCTGGATTAAATTGGCTCTAGTTCTGTGAAAAGCCATATCTCATTTTTAAATGAGAACTTCCTTCCTCATTCTACTGCCTTCTCCAGCATGTCAAGCCCCGCAGAGGTGTCCCCGGCTGCCCTCCTCAGAGCCACCAGGGACACTTGCTCTGTAATGTTACCGGGCTGCTCCAGTTGCTTTCCCATCCCATGGAAAGTTCCAGTTGCTCCAGTTGCTTTTTCCATCCACGTTGGTTGCTCAGGCTGTCAAGCTGTGAACCTTTCCTGTGTGCTCTCCACCCTGCTCACCCCAAGACCAGAGGACCTGGCTGCTTTAGCAGCCTTTCCCTCCTATCCAGAAGGTCCCCTGGTACCTCTGAGCTGGTGAACCCTGACCAAGGATAACTGCTCAAGCCTGCAGCTCTCCAGGTTGTAATTCAAGGCTCCCTCAGTCCTCTGCTGTAAGAGAAATTCAGAACATGCTTTTTCTTAAGTCCAGGTTGAAGATGGAAGCGGTGGATGAAGTCAGCAGGTACCCCAAATGCAGAAGTTGCCCAGATGGTTGTGGTAGGAGGAGAAGGAGCTGTAACCGCCGTTAATGCTGCTGACATAAGGTTGAGACCTTTGGTGGCTTCACGGCTCTGGAGCCTCCTCACCTCAGTTCTGTGGCACTGTGTCTGAGGGCATCTCGCTATGCTTTACTACCCTGCCTGCAGACAAGCAAGTGTCAGGTGGGAGCTTCTTTCCTCTGCTTCTGTCCCAGAGTAAGACCTTTATTTTTCTGCACTGGCAGTTAAATTTGAGAAGATCATCATTACCACAAGCAACAGGAGATATACTTCCTCCAATTTTATATTTAAAGTTCTGTACTTAGGCAAACCAAAGTCTTTTGTAATAACCAGGGGAGCACTCATAGGAGGCAAGTACCATTCATGACTAATATAATCTCATCTGTAACACTGGTGAAACAATTTTTGTGATTTTTTTTTTTCTGAGAGGAAAATCCAAGGGGCCACGACCAGCAATTTCTAAATTTGAAAAGAATTTGGGGAAAAATTTTGGAGCAAATTCCATTAAATCCATCTGTTCTTAAGCACAGGTCTCCTAAATGCAAATACCTTGTGTTTAGTCACCTACTTGCACCACTGACATATTTTCCTTCCTCCTGGTATTTTGTGCAGTTGGTGAGCTCTCCTGTACCACTAAGGTAGAGAGTAAGTTGTGGAGTAAGTCTACTAGCAGTAGACACACAAGCAGGTTCTATGGAAGAAAGTTCCTCCTGAGGTTATCCAGTTGCTCATGGTTTGATCTGGCAGGAGCCTTTGAATCACCAATCGCTTGTCACACAGCACAGTTTGGTAAATGTGTGTTTGCAAATTTTCTCAGTTCTGACTCACCCCTTCTTTGACAATGTTTGCACCTTTTACTCCTGTCTTGAAATATCAAAACGGAAGAAGAAAAAAAAAAAAAAGATGTTTAGTGTGTGTCATTCAACCAAGCATATCGTAAGATGTGGTTTTTATCTCATGATATGGGAGGGGGAAGAGGACGAGCAGCGGTGCACGACGAGCAGACCCCTGGGACTTAGTGGCACTCTGCGATGGACCTGTTGCTGTGCAGCAAGACACAAACCTGGTGGCAGGTTCTTCTTGTCGTGAGCCCGCCCTGAGTCAGACAGGATGAGTAAAACGTTGACTGGGCCAGCAGGAGTTTCAGCGTCATTGAGTCAAGACGTACATCTAGTGTGGGTACATGGGATTTCAGTCTATCGCAGCAAAGAAAGGCCAGGGAGTTGTGTCACGTCCACCATTTTTACCTTAGCTGGCCTTTCTCCCACCGTTCTGAGGCAATGGCATCAAGTAATCAAAAGGACATCGTTTTCCTGGGTGAGCTGTGCTGTGTCTGTTCCCTCATCCATCCTAGAGCACCTTGTCCTGGGGAAAGGACCCGCCTGTCTTTCCAAGTGATGCTGAGCCTTATCAGTCCGCCTCAAAGGCACTGTTGGTTGCCCCCAGGTACTCTGACTTCTTCTTGTGCTTCATCCACATCTTCCTCAGGAGGCTGGGCGTCCCGCACAGGCTGCCTCCCGTCAGCGGTAGGGAAGCTTCTGCTCCTGGTGGCAGGGTCAGGTCGTACTCTGCCGTCTTCCTCCAGCGATGCCTGTGGCTGGAAAATAAAGCACAGACACATAAAACACCCATCACTGTGGCTTTTCTTCCCTGGTTTTGATGACTGGACACCGAAAACCAACGTGTGAGGACACTGTGACAATGAGCGTGTTGCTGTCCCTCAGCTGGCAATAGCAGCACCTCAAGTATCACCCGGATCCCTGTCTGGGTCCACTGGCTACTGATGAGTGCAACTGTGGTCAAGTTGTGCCTTAATTACACTTAAAGACAATAAAGCTTTGTTTAAAAAATATCTAATTACATTTTCTAAACTGCCTTAAGGCAAATGTTATCAGAGGGCTGGAGCCCCTCTCCTATGAGGACAGGCTGAGAGAGTTGGGGTTGCTCAGCCTGGAGGTGTCAAGAGAGACCTTAGAGCCAGAGAGTTGGGGTTGCTCAGCCTGGAGAAGTGTCAGGAGAGACCTTAGAGCCCCTTCCAGTCCCTAAAGGGGCTCCAGGAGAGATGGGGAGGGACTCTGGATCAGGGAGGGGAGCCATAGGATGAGGGGGAAGGGTTTTAAACTGAAAGAGGGGAGACTGAGATGAGATCTCGGGAAGAAATTCTTTGCTGTGAGGGTGGTGAGGCACTGGAACAGGTTGCCCAGAGAAGCTGTGACTGCTCCATCCCTGGAGGGGTTCAAGGCCAGGCTGGATGGGGCTTGGAGCAACCTGGTCTGGTGGGAGGTGTCCCTGCCCAGGGCAGGGGGGTTGGAACTCAATGATCTTTAAGGTCTCTTCCAACCCAAACCACTCTATGATCATAGGTTCCCTAAGGGGAAAACACTCACCCTTCCAACCCAAACCCTTCTATGATTGTAGGTTCCCTAAGGGGAAAACACTTGATTTTGAATTTAGATGCTTTTCTTTCTAGTGATAAAGCAGAGCTGTGACTGGCACTGGGGCAGCTGTACAAATGGCCACAGCTGATGATACAATCAGTATGTCCTTTAGCCAATATCTCCCTGCCTTTGGGAAGCAAGCAGCATGGCTTTACTGTAAATCACTGAGGTGTTACAGCTGTGATTCAGAGGAGATCTGCAGATCTGTGTTTGTGGTGAGAGGGTGAGATGTGGTGGAGGTGGCCCATCCCCTGCCCTGCCTTGCAGTGCCCCACATGCTGCCCTGAGGGGTTTGGCTGGGGGTGTGGGAAGGGACTTACTCTTCCATCGAAGAGCTGTCGCCAGCGGGTGAGTCTGTGACAGCCACCCCTCTCGCTGTGATATGGGCAACTGGTGATGATGGGAACTGCGGGAGGAAAAGGGACATCATTAGGAAACACCACTGATGAGTAAGGATCACCGGTTCCTCTGAGGAAAGAGGCTGAAAGGAGGTTGTAGAGGGATGGGGGTCAGTCTCCTTCCAAGGAACAGGCAGTAGGACAAGAGGAAATGGCCTCAAGTTGCACCAGGGGAGGCTTAGATTGGATATTAGGAAACATTTTCACACTGAAAGGGTTATTAAGCATTAGAATGGGCTGCCCAGGGAAGTGGTTGAGTCACCACCCCTGGAGCTATTTAAAAGCCAAGCAGACATGGTGCTTAGAGATATGGTTTAGTGATGGGTTTGTCAGTGTCAGGTTGATGGTTGGACTCGATGATCTGAAAGGTCCCTTTCAACCCAGGCAATTCTAATTCTATGTTTCTATAGAGTAAATCTCTTACCAAGAGAAAGCAGGCTGGCTAAGGATTTGACTACCCAACTCTTACCCACAGAAACTCCGATTGCTCACATGAATGGTCTCAACTGAGCTCAGCACAGGGCTCGTATGAGCAAGAATTACACCTCCCATCAAAGGAGGGAGTCTGGCAGAACCCTTTATTCCCTAGTTTTTATGTCTAGCTCCCCAGGGAGTCGAAGCCTTGTGCAGACTGAGCTCTTGCAGCTCTTCTCAGGCCACTACCACTGGCTGGGGAGCCTCTGCCATCCTTGCTTCTTGAGCTGTGTTCAGAAAGGTTTCCCAGTTCTGCTGGGTGCTGCTCTGTGGTGTGGGGGAAGCCCTGGTTCCTGCCCTGGTTCTGCCACAGCCCCACAAGTGCCTCACCATCGACTTCCTCCTTGCCTTATTCAATCACATACTGCCCGCCAGAACTGAGTCACATCTTCCCATAAACAGACCACTGAGAGCGGCTCATCCTCCTGGCCGGTAAACTAACCTGTGGGTTGCCCAGAAATAGAAAAATATGTCCCAAATTGTGACGTGCGCTTGTCATTTCAGGCCATAAACACACTTACTGATTTTACTGGCAATACTGAAAAATTTCTTCATATCATTTTCACCACTATAACCGGTCTTAAGCCGTCTAGAGTTATTTTTTCTGGGATTAACCTGAGACTGGACACATTCAGGTGCCCTCTGTAAGCATCCTTGAAATCACTTTTGCAAGTATCCTTTGAAATTTAACCAGGTTAACTATTGGCAGGTGCAATTAATTTCATTACACTGAATACCATTAATTTTGACCATCCTTCAATATCGTACAGTTATTTTTCTTGAGCGTAGCCCAGCTACCAGCTAGGAAGTACATTGCAGCCATCCACAAGAGCATTTGAAGCCATGAAGTTTCTATAGCATGGTCTGGTATTGGTCAGAAACATCTCAAAGGACTATTTCGTGGTTGAAAATCTATTTTTTATAAAATGTATAGACTTTGAAATTTTATATTGTTTTTTTCTTTGGTAAGAAAAAGAAGGAAGGGAAAAAGCTTTAGTAGAGCTGAGTCATTTTTAACCAAAACATTTTGGTCCTACCATTACAGAACATATTTTTGCTTTCCATATGATGTATCGTGTCAGGATGGCATTCTGGAGAATATGAATTATTTGATGCTTGTTCCACTTCAGAAATTTATTTTTTTTTTCCCCCAATTTGTGAAATTCCCTGAGAAAGAAGAGGTTAATTCCTCCCAGCTCTTGCAGGTGGCTGGGCATCTGGAACAGGAACCTGCCTGTTTCCACCCCACAACCCTTCTTGGTTCCCTGAGGGGCAGCCACTCTATGCCAGTCTCTGCTCCCAGCTAAGGATCCTCTGGAATAAATCGTTTCTCAAAGCCTTAACGAAGACTGTGAAATCTGCATGTACCATGACAGACTGACAGGCTGTAAATGTGGGACATGCTGACAGGTACTGGGTTTGAAGATGCATCAGACAGTGGGAGTTGGTCTTGCTTGTATTTACTTACCAGCGATTTTCCATCCAGCAGGTGATTACAGGATCTGGGTGACTCTCTCCCAGTAATTCCCACTGCAAAGCATAAGAAACACGGCATTATCAGTAATTATCCCATTGTCACAGTTGTATTAAAAGCCTCCTTCCATGCTGTTAAACCCAGACAGAACCCAAATTCAGGCTGTAGTTCCACCAGATTTGATGAAATGCTCACTGATGTTCCTGCTGGTTGTGCCGAGGAAACAAATGAGTGAGGGATGCCAGATTTTTTTTCATGGAGCCAAATCCTCCCCCCCTTTTTTTTTTTTTCCCCCTTTCTTTTTTTCCTTTCTTTCTGTTCCTGGCCATTTTTGGTTGTCTGCTGTTTTTCAAAAGGACATTCAGGTAACTGAAGAGCAAGTGTCTACAGAAACACCAAGATCGACCAAGACAGAAGACAGAATATGATTCACAGTGGAATATAAATAATGACAGCAAACATCACAAATAGCCAAGGTGCTGCTTACAGTGTTGTCTCCAGCATGAGTTAGCAATCAGAGCTGTCTTCTCCTTCTGGGGGCAATATGTGACCATGATAAATATCTTAACCAGCCTCTCTCTTCCTGCTCCCCGCCTCCCTCCCCCCGCCAGTAATTCCATTAGGTACCTAACTGTATCCCTCACATCAAAGTTTAATTCAATTACCTCCTCTCATCTTGCATATTAGGCACTAACAGTATTCAGCAAGTGGCTTCAGGCATCAATGCTTCAGCTAATGGCCACATTTTTTACTTTTTTTTTTTCTTTTTCCCTCTTATATTGTCTGACTCTTCCCTTCAGCTTGTCCCTCTTCTTATTAGATACAGAAAATGTTCTGGCAAAGTTTTAGCAAAATATGTAAGCCAAAGTAAGTCCTCATGGCTTCAGGTTCATAAGTGCTCTTCAGGACAGTGGTGGCTGGGTGTGTGGTGTGAGTTCCACCTCCAGAAGGTGCTACGGATGTCCAGGCCTGAGACATGGGTTGCTCCACATCTCTTATTCTGACATGCCCTGGGTTTCCAAAATGAGTACTTCTACAAAAATTTGGTATGGAACTGAGTACTTCCTTCCTGGAGAATAAATGCAATTATTATTATTATTTTTTTTAATCTATCCATCCTGTGAAGCAAAGAGCAGCTTTGGGTGTGGTCAAGGGTTTCTTCTTCTGGCCTTCCACTACACTTACTCCCCTTCCTGCACGCTGGAATGCCCTCTCCTTATGCTTTGATGCCCGCGTAGGGTTTCGGATGCTGGCAGTAAGCGTGCTGGTGACCTCATTTGGGCTCTTGTTTACACAATTTTCACTTCCTCTGGAAGTTGAGCTGTTCCCTCCATGACCCAGATTTCAAGTCGTGCTTTACCAAATCTGAAGTCTTTTGAACATTCAACGTTACTTGCCTATGGAGCAAGCCTGGAACGCTCTGCAGACACAACTATTTTCCAGTAAGAAAGTTAAAGATTTTAAGGGTGAAATTTTTGTGGAGGTCACATTTACAGAGATGAATGAAAACAGATGATACGTGTCCATACACATACCTCACTTCATCACATGTTATGCTGGCTCTCCAGCTTGAGAAACAGCTGGAGAAACCTTTCTGGACTCTCTCACGGCACCCTGTTCTCTGTGTAGGGATTATTAGTGCAGTGAGTACTGAAACCAGACACTGCAGCACATCACAGCAAAGACCTATTTCTATTTTCACACAAATATTTGCAAACGCTTCTCCTTTCCTCCCCTTAAAATGCTCTCTCTGTAAAGTCAGGCACTAAAAAGTTATGGAATACCAGAATTGGACCAAAGTTATTTCATCCTCCATTCTTTTTGGATTCCTGTGCCTTTTCTCCTGTTCCCACCTATCTGTCATCCTCCACCCTGTTTCCCCTGACAGCAGAGACCAGCAGTTCCTCCTTTCTCCCCTGCCACCTCTGCCACCCACTACCGCACGGCCGGTCCCAGCCACTCCTCCTCCTCTCCCCTCTCCAGCCCCAAAGCCCCAGTTCTTTGTTCAGCCATTTCTTGGCTCTGGTCCCAGTTTAAGATCTTTCCCTACGGTGCCAAGCTCAGTTTTGTTCCTTCCCAGCTTCCCAGGCCCTCCTCTTGTCTGGTCTGTGTTCCAACGGGATGACTGATGAGCAATGAGGTTGCAGACCAGTGGTGTGAAGAACGTGCCACCTTCATGGTAGTATCTGCTTTACAGATTTAGCCCTTTTCAGCAGGTAAATGTCCATTGTCTTAACCAAACACATGCTGTATGGGATTTTTTCAAAGGCTTATGACTTGAGTGTACCTGGGTGCTTTTTTAATGCAGAGCAAAAGATGCATTTTTTGATTAAAAAGCCATGCCTTGCCAAACTGCATGGCCCTGCTCCAGCTTCGACCCTCCAAACGCAACACACCAGCGTTGAAGGAGCTGAATGACCAGTTTATTTATGTTTACTCAGTTCCTTGGTTTTGCATTGGCAAACTCTGTTTTTCCTCCATGAGTTCTCACAAATATGCTAAACAAGTCCTTGTTGAAAAAAAAAACCAAAATCAGGTCTGTGGCTGACATCCAGAATCGAAAATCTCATTCCAAATAATTATGTTCTGGGAGGTTCTAAGCAGAGATCTTATATAATAAGATGATTCAGGCAAACTCAGTAATATGTAATCCATCATCTCTGAAATATTGTCAGCCTTTGGAAAGGGACCGTCTATGACTGAATAAAGTGAGTTTATGACTCCAGAGAAAGAGAGAGCTCTGCAATGCCATGGTCATTATCTTATTAATTCCACTGGATATTTTAAGCATGGAAGTATCTTCCAGGTACATAAGAAAGTGCCTGCTTGGCTGCAAACTGGAAGACTGCAACATCTGGGAGTGTTGGTGGATGAGAAGCTCAACACGAGCCAGCCAAAAACATCTTGGGCTGCATCAAAAGAAGCGTGGGCAGGAGGGCAAGGGAGGGCATTCTGCCCCTCTACTCTGCTCTGGTGAGACCCCACCTGGAGCACTGCATCCAGCTCTGGAGTCCTCAGCACAGGAAGGACATGGACCTATTGGAACAGGTCCAGCGGATGGCCACGACAATTACAAGAGGGCTGGAGCCCCTCTGCTGTGAGGACAGACTGAGAGAGTTGGGGTTGTTAAGCCTGGAGAAAGAGAAGGCTCCAAAGAGACCTTAGAGCCCCTTCCAGTCCCTCAAGGGGCTCCAGGAGAGATGGGAAGGGACTCTGGATCAGGGAAGGGAGCAATTGCACAAGGAGGAAGGGTTTTAAACTGAAAGAGGGGAAATTTAGATGAGATACTAGAAAGAAATTCTTTGCTGTGAGGGTAGTGAGGCACTGGAAGAGGTTGCCCGGAGAAGCTGTGGCTGCCCCAGCCCTGGAGGGGTTCAAGGCCAGGCTGGATGGGGCTTGGAGCACCCTGGTCTGGTGGGAGGTGTCCCTGCCCAGGGCAGGGTATTTGGAGCTTGATAAGCTTGAAGGTCGCTTCCAACCCAAACCATTCTATGATCTAAAAACATTCTGAAGCCACAGAGGAATGAAGCCATTTATGCAGACTTACCGTGCTGGGCAGTGCCCTTGGTGGGGCAAGGTCCCCGCTGCCCACTCTGGAGATGGCCCAAGCCCCGCTCCTCCTCCTCACCATACAGCACATGGAGGAGGTCACCCTGGTGGGGCTGCAGCTTCTCGGGCCTGTGGGGCCGATGATCAGATATGGCTATCACCTGCAGGGAAGAGGCAAAACCATCCTGTTACACCTGGCCTTGGAGATTAGGTGGTCTGTGAAGGGAGCAGCATGGTGCTTGCTCTTCTTGCTGCTTTACTGTCAACCAAAGGGGACTTTGTTGGGTGGGGACTGTGGGATTTGTAGGGTCTGGTTTGTTCAGCTCCTGCCTCCATGCATGGGATGTATGAAAACATGGGGAAAATTATGTGGGGTCTCTCCGGGACACAGCTCTTAGTTGCACCTTTCTGTATTCTCCTCAGGGAACTGAAATGTGGTCCTTTCCAACATCTACTGAAGACAGCTCAAGTTTAATTTTGCATTGTGTCAAACCCTGGGTAATCAGTTAAACTTACAGAGTGTGAATTACAAATGCTATTTCTTCTGCCTTGTGGACTTACTTACAATTTATACCTGGTAAATGACCACAGAGGACACAAGGTGGTGAATAATTGTGCTTCTAGATATAAATTTTCACAAATATTAGCTCGCAGAAACAAAGCTCACTGAGATCTGCACCTTTGAACACCAGGCCCCCTGCACCTCGAAATGAGTGTGAACAAAATCAAGAGCTACTGTCATAGAGAGAACCAGTTAAACAGGGCAAAGATCCAAACCAGCAAGCAAACAAGACACATGGCACCTATTCAGACTGTTTGCCATCAGACTCACTGGTGTTGACCTTATGCTGCAAGACCAGGAGAAAAGCAGTTACTTGCATTTAACTGGTGACTGATAGTTGCCATCTACGTGTTTTACAGAAAAGCAGAGTTATTTCATCTCAAGACTGAGACCTGCAACTGAGCAGCCCCCTGTTGGCATAGAAAATGCCTTAATTCCATCTATTGCTCTGCTGATACTCAAGAGAAAATCAAAACCACATTCAAGCATGTCCCCTCATGCAAAAGTGGTCATTTTCTTTATAAAGTTTAGATTCAGTTTGCCATTAGTCTGCTATATTCTGTGTAAATTAATTTTTACACAGGTATAAAAACATATGCACACCGATGTTTTCCAAAACGGGAAAAAAAAAAAAAACCCAACCTGACCACTTTTTATTCTTTTGACTCCAGGTACCCTTAGGAGTCTGGAGAAGGCACCGTGACCTAGATCCCACTGACCAGCAGGACAAGGAGTAGAAACAGCAGGCAAAAACACTGCTGGAAAGGGCTGGTGAGGCAACCAAAGCCTAATCCAAGACCTAAGAGGGGTTTTCTCTCAGTTCCATGGATTTTGGCACACAGCCTAACACAGTCCCTGCTCCGTAAGCTGCTTAAGGACATGGCCAATGCTAAGGGCCCAGCTCTACTGGCCATGAATCTGGTGTTGCCAGAGAGAGCCACACCTCAGCATCACTCCAATAACTCAGAAATGAGGATGATGCTGGTGGTGAGAGGCCTCCTGTGGCTGCTCAAGCAGCTGGCTCTCTCCCAGCTGCCCCTAGACCAGCTCCAGGACTTCCCCATCCCTCTGTCCTCCTGTGTCCACGCACACCCTGACCACCCCAACCTTGCAAGCTGCTGGCCAGAGGCATTACCCCACCGAAAACCACAGTGAGAACGGTGGAGACACCTGTATTCATTATGAATGTGATAAGTCTGTGCCTGGCAGTGGTCCCTCGTGACATCCCTTGGAGTCTGCTCCATGTGCACTGAGCTCTTCCAGACTTTAAGGGATGCCACAAAGCTCTGCTTTTTCCCCCCAGCTCTGGAGATGTGCTCAGTGCTCTTGGGGACACTCAGTCCTCTCTGGCGTGTGACAGAAAGATGTCATCAGCCCCCTGCTACTGAGGCACCCGAGGTTGTTTCTTTTGCATGGTCCTGGAAAGATCACTTGTGGTAGGTAGGCTGCTGGCTGCAGTCCTCTCTAATCCTGGAAGTGGCTTATTTGATCAGTGCAAACCACCGCTCAAAACTTAACAACCTGCCTCATGGGCTGCAAGGGGTGGAATTCAGTTTGGGGGACGGAAGCAGGATTTTGAACGCCATTAACAGCAGGAATTATCTAGGCACGTTGTTGGTGTTTGTGAGATTCCTTCTTACACGCCGTATCAGTAACACCGAAACGCCTTCCAGCAGAAGAATCATAGAGTCATAGAATCATTCAGGTTGGAAGAGACCCTTGGGATCATCGAGTCCAACCATCTGCCCTACTCTACAAAGTCCTCCCCTACACCATATC